GTGAAGAGCGATTCTATGGCTAGACCGTAATAAAGCCTTTATTATTATTTATTATTATTATTATTACTATTATTAGTATTATTATTAATAAAACCCCAAGCTCCTCTACCAGGTCTACGCGGCCATCTTCCCTGCGAGAGAGTGCCAAATATGTGTACAGCCTCCCGTTCAGATGATTCCACCTAAGATGCTCCTGATCTATTCTCCCGTGGCATTCACCTCTTATCGCAGATTCCTCCCCTACAGACCGTATTTCCTATTTCGTATTTTCCACTTCTTATTGTATATCAGCATATAATATTTTTTTCGAAGGGAACTTTACCAGAGTCGTAACTTGCTAGATCCCTAAGATTGATCATTTTCCAGGTCGGTTTATTGGTCAGTCTATTTTCAATTTTGCAATGTCTTGGGAGAAGAAAGTTACCGCAATACTACGTCGTTTCTAGTCTAGAGGATTTGGCACACTCCGGAAGTAAAGATTGGATCGGTTCTAGTTCCCATTTTCACAGGCAACAAAATGCCAGGACATATTAAATGTGTAGATGTGTTTAGTCGGAGCAAAAAATTTATAGTTTTGACTTGTTTTTTGTTTCATATTTGAATAGCATACTTTACAATATGTAGCATATTTTCAGAACCGAGCATGGAAAAAAAATCGGGCACTATCTCTTAGGACCTGGATATGTGTAGCCTGATAATTGGGTCCGGTAAAAGGTTTTGCTTTAAAGTACAGCAAACCTCTCATCCCTTATAAGTTTTACCTGTCAGTAGTAGGGAGTGGAATGGAAGGGCTCTTAAAGTGAGCTACCAAATGGAGCATAATGCAGTGTGACGTCACGTAGCATCATAACGAGTGCTTCGCCTGGTTTTCTCAGTTTAGCGAAAGGATGCAATTAGTAGCGAACAAAGACAACTTAAATTTTATTTACATTTGGACTGGCATTTGATAAGAAGCCATGGCATGTATACAATGATATTAATTCTCTAGAACGTTAGTGTGTATGACTTTTAGCTGCTGCGATAAGTCTTCGTCTGTATTTACCTAGTAGACTGAGACAGAACCTCGGAGGAATATGCCTTGGTAGGAAATGGCTCCACGGAGGTGCGTCCACCCTCAGTATTTGTTGAGGATCGCGTTCGCGACCTCCCTTGTGCTGGTGGCTCGTCGTACCTCTTTTAAGAAAGGAAGAAACCCTTTGGGTCGCCCTTTTTTCTTTTGGTGAAATATTTTGTAGGTAAATTATGCCACAAAAGGCTCCCTGGGACAATACCCCTCGTCAATCACATGTAGAATTTAAATTTCTAAGTGGGATCGTGTAGCTTATTTCATGAAGACCTCCTCAATACCATTCACAAGAGCGGTTCTTAAACAAGGTGGTTAATAAACGAATTCGTTTTCTCTCATTGTTTGATTAAGACCGCTTCAGTCCCATCCCTAATATGAAAAATTGTAAGCTATAGGCAGGGATAATAAATGATGACGGAATTCGTTTTCTGTATTAGATAGAGGACAGAACTTCTCTAGGAAAAACAAAGTTCATTTTAAAATATTCAAGCGATCTACTAAAACTAAAATTGCAGATCTGAGATGGCTACGAAGTTCTTTTGCTAGAGGATTCAATTTTCTCCCTTTGACGCCACAGTTTAAGTACACAAAATTTTCACAACAGATTACGTTGCTTATTAACATTTGCAGGGCAAAGATGAAAGTCAACTTTGTAAGAACAATCCACCGAGCGAGCAGATGCGTTCTCGGTGGATTGTTTTCCTATGATGTATGGCAATATGTCCATTACCTGAGAAGAAAATGGAAGTTTACTTTACCTTTCTCAAGGTGACAGTGGGTGATAACCTAATTCGTTTTTTTTTTTTTATTTTTTTTTTTTACATTAAGCGATTTCCGGCTACAAGAAAAAACAAAGTTCGTTAAAAAAGAATATAATGATCTAAAGAAAGTGAAATTCCAGACCTAAGATGGCGGACGAAATTCTCTTGTTAAAGGGTTTACCTTGCTCCCTCGGACACCACTGTGAAAGGCAAGAAGACGAAGAGTATGTTTTAATGAAATAAAGTTTCTAATCAAGAATTTTGAAATAAGGAACTATTCTTGACACCACTCTTCGCTATATTTTACTTTTCACCCTAAAGCTCAATCACCGTTTAGCATCCTGGTTTAATTTACAGAAATTTATCAGAATAAAACTTATTTCCTACCAGGCATCCGCAAGTTCTGCATCAGTTTTAAGTACTCAACATTTCATTCTCCAGCTATCCAACATAATAAATGAAAAGCCAAAACATTTACCTTGGGGAGATGAAACCTCTTACCTTTCATTGCTGGTATGCGCAGCATGCGTCTGGGTCGGACAGTCAGGATGTATATAGGTGAATATATATTTAGCCGGACGGTTCGACCCAGTGGACACTTGCTGAGAAACAAAATTGTAAAAGCATCTGATAAACGGTTACGATTAAGAAACATTATTTTATTAATCTGAAAGATCATGTTGTTAGCGAATTTTTGTACAGCAAATATCATTGTCAACATTTGAATTAGAATCCACCAATGCGTTCTGTTGGATTCAATATCCAATCTCTAGAAACCAAATAAAGGCCTATACTTCTTTTTTTAGAAAGTAGAGGAGCGTAAAACTAATGATAGCTTTGTCTTTTTACCACACCTCGGACTACAGGAGACTTCAACGTTGTGTTTTTTGTAAAAACGTGAATACTTACTCTTCACTTGTATCCCAGGATAAGAGACAATGTGGGTTTCCTTTCTCACATGACAGCGCCTAGTTTATTTTTCTCTTTCAGCCGTCCCTCTGCTGCACTTCGCATTTCCAGGGGTCTCGCAGCTGGACCATATGTGTGGAACGTGGAAACAAATGTGTGATAGGGATCGGTCAGACACCAAACATCACGGTCTCCCGATGTAGACAATAGATCCAGTAAAGAAAGAAAAAGTTGAGATTGAATAACCCCTACAGTCGGGATGATAACGATTCTGACAGTCTTGCTCATTCAAGGTATCGGGAGTCGTACACATGGAGAACTTGTGTGGGAATTGACACCTATGAAAGGTACAAAACAAGAATTTTCTTCTAATTTCAACAAAAGATCCAGTATGTGAGAACCAAATGAGCCAACTACGTCAAAGAACTCTAACATTTACGTTGAGAACTGACGCGGAAATTTTCTCGTACTTTTGTTGTTTGTTTTATGGGGTTGTTACACCCTCCCACCGACGCAGCACCACGGTTTCTGTAGAAAATTACCCCCTTTATTCATTTGACTTCTAGACAGATTACCCAGTCGCCTATTCCGAGAATCCAAACTAAGGTAGTGCGTCGAACGTAATGCCATATTTCCTTGGCTTTGCTTTACTCCACTATCTGCTTGTTTCGGAAAACGTGCACCAATCAGATACAAAATTTAAACCAATCGCGAAAAGGTCACACTAGTGTCCCATGTGAGAAATAAGGCGTTTCGTTAGATCAATTTTGCAATCTTTTGCGCTCAAGCTGGCAGGGTTATGTGTCAAATGGCACACGGACAAACAGAATGTTGCGCGTATTATTGATGTCGGTACCAGGAAGTTGGATTTGCAAGAGGAAGCTAAGCGTATTTTTGAGGTTTGCCTTCATCATGGGATTTCTATTGAGCTTGGTGCCCACATCCAGAAACGAGCAAGCAGATTATTTCAGCCGTATTGCTGATTTGATGACTGATCTGTGAGTTTCGCTTTTTAGACTTGAAATAGGGACCTCACTCTATTGATCGTTTTGCTGACGAGCATAACCATTAATTACCTAGATTTGATTCCTGGTTTTGGAATCCTTATTGTGAAGCTATGGACACTTTTACAAGGTCGTGGGACTTCGACAACAACTGGATTTGTCCGCCACCTCACCTTCTTCCGCGGACTCTGAAGCACACGAGGTCTTGCAGCGCATAAGGTACTTTGATCGTTCCGCTTTAGCGTTCTGCTCCATTCTGGCCTTTACTTACAACGGACGGCTCTCATCTGGCTCATTTTGATGAAGATTGGGGGAACCTGCCTCCCTCGCACCACAGCTCTGGTGTTTCCGGCAGAGAGAATCTTAATTTTAGCTATAGGGTTTTGGCTGTTCGTATTAATCTCAGATCTGCGCGGTTTTCATTAGCGGGTTTTGCACCAGCGATCAAGGTTGGTGCTCTCAGTTTTCATCTGCTTAGTTTGGTGAGTATTTTATTTTTAATTCATTTTCTTTTGCGAGGGTTATTTCTCCGGTTTCATCCGTAGGGTGTGTGTTATTATGTGCCAGTGGGTGTCCTAATAACTTTTTAGTGATTCTTGTTCCAGTTTGGGGATGGTATCGAATAGTCTGAGGTCAGAGGGTGACATTCAGGTAGCCAGTGGGTGGCTTATGCAGACACTATTAGGATTATTTGTTTTAGCAGATTGTATTAGCATTATTTGTTATAGTTATAGCCAGTGGGTGGCTTGCGCGTAGCAAGTGGGTGGCTTACACAGATTCTATTGTTATTATTTGTTCTGGCCAGTGAGTGGTTTACGCACTGTCGTCTAGTTTTATTAGTATTATTTGTTCTTGCCAGTGGGTGGCCTTTGTGTAGCTAATGGGTGGTTTACGCAGTTTTTTCCCGTTCTCAGACCGCTCGGAATGGGCAGCGCTTGGCTTGAAGCAAGCCGCACCCAGGGGTTGTGTGTGTTCTTTTGTTGGATCAAACTGAGATTTAGAGGAGAATAGTATTTTCCTACGTTTGACTTGGTAATTAGCAGGAAAATATGCTCTCATAGGTATCTTATGTTTGTTTGGGAATGTGCGCTGTTATGTGGGTAATTAGCGGGGGTATAAATTTGGGCGGACAGGTTTTGTCTTTCATCTCGGTCTTGCTGTTCCAGCATTCCGGTTATTTTTGTTTCTTTTTGACGTTTTATTGTGGATGTGTCTGTGTTCTTTCTGCATTTATTTTTCAGATGTTTTCATTTCTCTATTATGTGGTCGGATCTTCGCGCTGCTGTTCCCCAGGGATCTGACGTTTTACACTACCTTGCAAGTTCTCTCCCGGATGTTGCATTGGCTAGTAGAACACCTAGTGCTTCATCCAAGTATTTCTCTTCTTACAAGCGATGTAAGTCTCGGGCCCGAGAACATGGCTTTACAGCTTTTCCTGCATCTCCGTTTCACTTTGCCATTTATTTACGTCATTTCATGACTGAGGCGAAGACAGCATCTCCTCTAGAGTCAGCAGGTCGTGGCATTACCTAGCTTCACCAATTAGGTGGCGAGCTGTCTCCTACTGAACATCCGTTGGTGAAGAGTGTTCTTGCCGGTGCACAGCGTTTGCTGGCCCATCACACATCCAAGAAAGAGCCTATCACAGTCTTTCGGTTAGAACAGTTAGTTGCCTGCAAGGCGGACTCGATGGCCTCTTTGTATAGTATTCGTTCGTTTGTAATATGCTTGCTAACTTTTGCTGCCTTTCTCAGACTTGATGAGCTTGCTAAGCTTGTTCGATTCGATGTCGAAATCGAAAATGATATTAAAGTTATTTAAGAGGCTGTCTCTCTTATTTCCACCCGGTCAATTTTGCGTCAAAAATAATTTTGCCTGAAACTCTGTTAACAGAAAGACTTTACCTAGGAAAGAACTAAATTAGATTTTGTTTGATTCGAAATAATTTTCTGACTGCATTACGGGCCATAATTATTTCCCAGTCCGTAGGGACCGTCGCAACGTCTCGAAAATTGAAAAATAGGCATATTTTGTAGCGTTGTAAAATATTTGATTCGCATAGTTAAGCCACAGAATTTATATCAGATTGCTTAAATACCTTTCTAGTTTGCCAAGAAAGTTAGAATTTGCCCTCTCAACATATTTGAAAAGGCGAATTTTAGTATATTCTGACCACTAGAAATCGCCATCGGCCGATGGCCGTAAATAACCTTGCAATTGATTTAGACGCTAAGTCTTGGGATTTGGGACCTGGTTGGCGATTCTATCCTACACAGCCTATGTCTGGAAACTGAGGGAGAAATGAAGGTTTTAGGCTTCTGAAGTGAAGAAATAATCGCTTAAATTTAGATCCAGTTCGATGTTATACTGTTCTCACAAAGGTCCGCACAAAAGAGAAGACCGCTGATAGCTTGTGCCGTACGTTGTGCCATATGGTTTTGTTTTGTATCCCAATGTAATTAATATTTGGGCAGAAAAATTTTGGATGAAAAGAATAAATGCTTTTACCTGGAGTTTGATATCATATAATTAATAAATCAATTTCAAATATCCTGAGCTTGCTTCTCTCGGTTCCGCGTCGATTGTCCACAGAACAGCAACCCGTCAATAGCCGGAGAAATCATGGGTTTATGTGAAATTTCAGATATTCCTCGCTTCCCAAACTGGTGAACTGGACTTTATGATAACTCCAGCAAATACCTCCAAAATTCAGCGGTCGGCATCTGTCGATACTCTTCTTTGACTCGTTGTTGCGAACTAAACTCGAAAACTAAAGCCATGTTTCGCGCTTAATGTCCCGTTGAAACTTTGGATTGCAGCTGCATTCTCTTCGAGAATCAGTCATAGAACTCCACTTGTAAGTCTATGTGTCGAGGTTTGGCGTTTTGGAATTTAAAGCTGAACAATTGCACTATCGCGCATAACCCGCTGAACCTTTAATTTTTTCGGAAGGCCTGCAAGTGTAGTATGGCATGCAAGTGCTTTTTCGAAACCAGAGAGGCTTCAGTTTGTAGCGAGTCTTCAGCGAGGTTGTTAAAGCTTTCATTGGACAGAGGATACGCATTGACGAACCACCGAGTGAAGGGAACAACAGCTGCAGTAAGAATAATAGACGAATCAAAGAACACTCTCTGTATAAATAAGATTGAGCATTTTAGTAGCTTCCACAACTTCGAATATGGAGATATCGGTCTGAGAGTTTGGAAATGTTATGGCATCGGTAAAGGGAAGTACATTCCATATGACGTAATTTATATCAAGCACCAAGGTCAAACGTCCCTTCAAACCATAGAATCTCAAGGGTTTTATGATCCTCCTGAAAAGCGTGTGGTCAAGCGTCGTTCAAAGGGCAGCAAGGAAACAGAGAGTACAACGCCAATGTTTGAATGCTCTGTGTTTGGATGTGTTGAAGTGTTCGAAACCCTTTCGCAGCTGGAGCTGCACCTGGACGTTGGAAAGCATACAGTCAGCAGGTTAAAGCCAGTATGATGCAATCAAAAGGGACTGGGTCCTTAAGTTCTCGTCGATAGATACCGCTGGTATCGAGTGTTCGAGCTGTTCGTTAGATTCTAGTACACCACTCACTTCTCCCGTGGATACTTCGCCCCACTCGTCTTTACGAACAGGATGGGCCGTAAGCAAACCAAGGGGCAGCGTTAGATTTTCAGAGAAGGTAAAAGAATACCTAACGGCACGGTTTACACTTGAAGAAAGAACTGGGCGAAAGGCCGACCCCGCCCAAGTTGCAGTGGACATGCGAAATGCGAAAAATGAATCAAATGCACGTTTATTCACTAGAGAACAGTGGCTGACAAAGAACCAAGTTCAGAGCTTTTTTCCCGGCTAGCAGCAATGCGGCGAAAAGATCAGGGTGTGATCGAGATATCACTGGATGAGGAGGAAGATATCCAATGCGTCCAGGAAAATTCCGAGAGATAAGATCTGGTAGACAAAGTTAACAAAGAGATCAAAGTCTCACATCCAATCTGCTACGATACGTAGGACCTCTGTGAACGTTACCACAATAACACACTTCAGAAATTCAATGTGGTTTTGTTGAGAGCCATCTGTAGTCATTTCGAGATCCCTGTAAAATTGAGAGACAAAAAACAGATCCTCATAGACAAACTGTCGGACGTGATTAGTGATTGTCGGTGTGTTTCTCAGTAGACTTATGTAAACAATGTCTTATACGGTGGCTGAAAGTGAAGAATATGCTCTACAGATACAAACTACCTTAACTTCCGATATTAAGTTCTGACGGCGTTGTTATAGCGTAATATATTATAATATCTAGCAGTCAGTGAAATGTTTTGATGAAATCGATTGAAAGTTTACCAAAAGCAACACTTATAACATCTGTTCATACGAAGCATGTGTCAAGTTTTTAACACGTTGGTAGCCGATTTCTCCGGCTATTGACAGGTTGCTGTTCTGTGGACACAATCGACGCGGAACCGAGAGAAGCAAGCTCAGGATATTTGAAATTGATTTATTAATTATATGATATCAAACTCCAGGTAAAAGCATTTATTCTTTTCATCCAAAATTTTTCTGCCCAAATATTAATTACATTGGGATACAAAACAAAACCATATGGCACAACGTACGGCACAAGCTATCAGCGGTCTTCTCTTTTGTGCGGACCTTTGTGAGAACAGTATAACATCGAACTGGATCTAAATTTAAGCGATTATTTCTTCACTTCAGAAGCCTAAAACCTTCATTTCTCCCTCAGCTTCCAGACATAGAGAGTTTATATTCTGATTTTGGAAAAAATTCAGCTCTGCAGCGATGTTAAATGGGTGAAAAAAACGCGAAATGTGGCCAATTCCGACATTTGTTTTGATACCACGAATCACGATGGATGCCGCCTACTTTTCGAAGGCAATACCTAGCTATTTGTTGAAGTTATCATGGATTTCACCAATTTGGTTATTAGAAAAATTCTAAAGTGAGCCATGAAGCCGGGCTGCAAAGCGGGTAAGCTGTATTTATGACGAAATCTGCTCCAGTGGTTCGATTTTGGTGTAGGCGAAAAAATCGCGAATGCTCGTACATGTGCTGATTCAAACGGTCATAACTTTTGAAAAATCGAAAACGTACAGGGGTTTTTGCACATTTTTGCCTATAAAGGTCTAAACTTAACGGCTGTGTAGGATAGAATCGCCAACCAGGTCCCAAATCCCAAGACTTAGCGTCTAAATCAAGGTTATTTACGGCCATCGGCCGATGGCGATTTCTAGTGGTCAGAATATACTAAAATTCGCCTTTTCAAATATGTTGAGAGGGCAAATTCTAACTTTCTTGGCAAACTAGAATATTTTACAACGCTACAAAATATGCCTATTTTTCAATTTTCGAGACGTTGCGACGGTCCCTACGGACTGGGAAATAATTATGGCCCGTAATGCAGTCAGAAAATTATTTCGAATCAAACAAAATCTAATGTAGTTCTTTCCTAGGTAAAGTCTTTCTGTTAACAGAGTTTCAGGCAAAATTATTTTTGACGCAAAATTGACCGGGTGGAAATAAGAGAGACAGCCTCTTAATAAGTAAAATGCACATGGTGTGAGACACCATATTTACTTTAACAATCTCGTGGAGAGAATATATTCTGGTCTAAGATTTTCTACCCCAAATTATAGTGAAACTATGCCATTAAAATTACAAACGTATAAGTTAAAATGGAACGAAAATAGAATAAAAAATAAAAGGTGTATTTGATTAAAATAACTAGACCCTGTGAGCAGGGTAACTGGGATACCTGGATGGTACTGGATCCTTGGAATCAAGTGTAGTGATACTACGGGTGTCGGATTAGTATACTGAAATAGTGAGCTCAAGTCTGGCCAAGGGCATACACCTATTTCAAAACATAGGCATGCTATGCATGCAAGAGTTATTTTTTGTAGGTGGGTGGATTACTTGAAACATTGTATTGTAAGTAGTCTACATTCTTACAATAGGAAAGAAGAGTATTCACGTGGAAAAGAACGAAAATGTCGAATTACCTCACACACAGGTATTTTGTGGTAGATTATGTGTGTTGTGCGAATAAATGTAACCAAAAATAAACCGTATTGGTGCCACAGATGCCTGTTAGTACAAAATGCAGACAGCAGACCGGATACAAAACATAGACTGGAGAATGGAGTGGGTACAAAATGCAGACTGAGAATCTGAAGAGTTTTTACGTCTGGTATATTATAACATGTCATCTTACAGCTTACCGAGCGTCACGCAATCGCTTTTCCTCGATCAGCCTTCACGATTATTTACACTATTGTGGAAAATTCCTGGCCCATTTCTTGATGAAAATCGATCGTAATATAATTTCAAACCTTCAATATACTCTTCTTACTTTGTGCGCGAGTTGGTTTCCGTGATGTCCGTACAGATTTTACCAACGTAATAAAAGTAGATGTGAATAACAGTGATGGTAAAGTAAGCTTAAAACGGCAGAAATCACCAGAAACTGCAACGGATACACAGTTCGCGACTCAATCCGGTCCAAAATTACCGCTCAGTAACATCTTTTAGTGTCGATTGGCCGCGGACAATGCGACTTGTGGTGGTGTGACTTCTGTACAGAATTTACCAACGTAATAAAAGTAGATGACGTGAATAACAGTGATGGTAATGCGGGTATCAGCGGCCATCCCGAGGGGTCGACCCCCGGGCACCCAGGGGCATTTGTCACTGCTGCCGTGACAAATACATGCTAAAGCCCCTCGGGTAGCGCAAAAAATTGGGACAAATACCCTCACCCCTGGAGCAACCTGGGCAACATATAGTCGGTGTTGCCTGTTCCTCGATGC